ATTTTTTACGGCGGATCCGATGTTTATCCCGTTATATTTACAACATTGAATAAAACAGGGGACCGGGAGAAATCGGATCCGCGGACCCCGGAACCCGCCCGTGTTAAGATTCTACGGGGGAAGGGAGTTCGGTCATTAACTTCCAACTCATCATCGCCATTTGCACCTCAAGAGGAAAAGCTTTCGTCCTGCGTAAGTAGGACTATCGGGGGACCATGGGGGCAAAGTCTATAGGGCTATAGAGCTATAGGGCTATAGGGCCATAGGGCTATTGGGCTGTAGGGCTATAGGGCTACAGGGCTATAGGGCTGTAGGGCCATAGGGCTATATGGCCATAGGGCTATGAGTCTATAGGGCGATAGGGCGATAGGGCTATAAGACCATATGGCTGTAGGGCTATAAGGGGTATAGGGCCATAGGGCTAGAGGCATACATATATATATATATAGAGAGAGTTATAGGGCTGTAGGGCTATAGGGCTATATGTTATAAGGCTGTAGGGCTATAGGGCTATAGGGATATAGGGCTATGGGGCTATAGGGCTATAAGGCTATAGGGCTACAGGGCTACAGGGCTATAGGGCTATAGGACTACAGGGCTATAGGGCTATAGGGTTTGAGGGCTATAGGGCTAAAGAGCTCTAAGGCTCTAGGGCTATAAGGCTGTGAGGCAATAGGGCTATAGGGCTATTGGGATATGGGGCTATAGGGCAATAAGACAATAGGGCTATAGTGCTATAGGGTTATGGGGCTATAGGGCTATAAGGCACACGGGCACCGGGGCGGGTCGCGGAAATCGGTGGCACACGTCGCCTGACAGTATGAATCCGCTAGAACCCCTAACAGAAGCAAGCTCTGATTGGGGAATTGTCCAACATGGTGTAATGGTGTAGTGGTCAAGGAACAGATCTAGATTGCCCCAAGTGGGACGACCATCGGACCTGGAGGGTGAAAAGCGTACTTAGAGCGTAAGCGCAGCGGGGTGTTTTGGGACTCAAAAAAGCCCTTGCCAAATGAAACTTTTGATTCCGGACGACCATCGGAACCAGGAAAAGACACTGCACTTAGAGCGCTTTAGTGCAGCGAAAATTCCTTGGCCTCGAAAAGCCTCTGCCTGAGGATACATCATGGGCCGAACCGAAGGATTTGGGCTTCCGGTGGACTTGAGAGCCTCTGGGCCTCTTGGGAGCCTCTTGGGGCCGTCTGTGGGCCATCTTGACCTGTCTTGGCCGTCTGGAAGTCATGTTGGGCCGTCCTGGCGGCCTCGAGGGCCGTCTTGAAACCATCCTCGGCCGTCTCGGGACCATCGTGAAGGGTCCTGGGGGCCCCAGTGAACTGTCTCGGGGCTCCCTCGGGCTCCCTTGGAGCAATCTTGGTCCGCCTGACGCATTCCGACGCCGTCTAGTGGGCACTCTGGGAGGTCTCCGGGGCCGTCGTGGGAGACTCTAGGACGCTTCTGGGGCCGTCCTGTGGCCTTGTAGGGCTCCCCTTGGGGCAAGCTTGGGTCATTTGACGACCATCCGGAAGCCTCGGAAGCCGCCCATCGGAAGCGAAAAAGCATGGTTTCACAAAGGTTGTTCAATGATTTTGGCAGCTTGGGGTCCTCTTGAAAGCGTCTTGGAGCCAGAACCCTCTTGACAAATCAATGAAGTTTGCCTCTCGAGGCACTTTCGCGGGCCCTGTTGGACCCGTTCGCGAGGTCCGCGGTATCTCTACTAACCGGCTTGTGGCCATCCAAGAAACCTCTTTGGCCACGTCGGTCCGTTTTGGCGGCCACTTTGCGTCCTCTGGGGCCGCCCTGGAGGCCCATGGGGGCCTGGAAAATCGCTCGGAAAGGGGCCCGCCGGCCCCAAGGACTACGTTCGGGTGGTGGTGGTCGTTGTGGTAAAGGAGTTTTGAAATGGGGGGTGCCGGGGCCCGGATACATATATACATATAGCATGTTAAGTGATAGTATCTACTACCTCGGTATAGAGTGGAATATACTATCATGGAATGCTCAGCCGTATTATATCAAATTATGATTCCACCGTATGCCGCATGTTATTACATTACATTGAAGTACATTGTATTGCGTTGTGTTCCACTGCCGTACATTACATCATGTTGCATGATGCGTCATCAATGTGATTGTGATATGTTCCGTTATGTGATATTGATTGCATTCTATCGTCTGTTAATATGTACTAGTTTACTATATGGCATCATATTATACTGTATTATATTGGATTAACACATGTCATATTTTAGTGTGCATGTTTCTAGTATATGGTAGATGATGCGTTGTGCTGTTGTTTGAAATTGAACTGTACTTGATTGTATCACATCGCATTGCATTGCGTTCCGCTACTCCAGCACATTCCACTCCATTGCGCTACATTACATGACAATGCGTTGCACGAATGTTACACCACGTTGTATTATGGGGTATTCGACCATACTATGGTATGGTACGTGATTTTGATGAAAAAACACAAAAGGTTTTACTGTATTACCTCATACTGTATTATGGTTTATAATAACACTGTATAGCATATGATAAGACTGCATACTACTTTGAAGTAGTTGGCATTACATTTCATGGTTGCACTTGGTATCAAATCATTAGGTAAATATTTGGACCCATATCCTATGGACAATTTATGATATCATGTTCCATGCTACATGTTATGGTATGCGTTACTCGTTCATGCATTAATGCATTCTAATGTAATATATGTCAGTACAGCGCATGTGCACGCATTTTTTGTGCATACATATATGTCGGCGGTGCCCCGTGGCACGAACTCCCCCCCCCGCCTTCCCGGGGGGGTTCGTACAGGGCGCACCGGGTGCCGCCGACGACCTGGAACCCCGCCTCTCCCTCTTTCTGGGGGGTTTTGTACCGGGCGCACCGGCGCCCCCCCCCTGTGGTAGTGGGGTGGCGGGTTCCTGTGGGAGTGCGGGGGGGCTTCTGTGGGGGCGGGGGGGGGCTGCGTGGGAGCGAGGGGGGTGGGTCTTTGGGGCGTGGGCGTGGGGTGGGAGGGAGGACTAGATGCATGAATGGAGGTACGGATGGATGGACGGATCGACGGACGGATATGAGATAGATGGTCCAGGGTCTGGCCCCCCCCCCATGCTGATGCCATCGGGCCCCCCCCCCGCGCGATGGGCCCCCCCCCACTGTGGGCGTGGCGTGGTGGCCCCCACCCGCCCCCACTGTGGGCGTGGGGTGGTGGCGGCGGCGGTCGTCCTCGTGGTCGTCGTCGTCGTCGTCGTCGTCGTCGTCGTCGCCGACGCCGCCGTCGCCGACGCCGCCGCCGTCGTCGTCAGCGTTCGTCGTCGTCGCCGACGCCGCCGTCGCCGACGCCGCCGCCGACGCCGTTGTTGGACCCCCGCGGGTGGTTTCGTACCGGGGCGCGCCGGCGGGGCGTCCCGGGGGTTTCGTACCGGGGCGCACCGGCCCCGGGGAGGTTCGTGCATCCCAGGGGGTTTCGTACCGGCCTGGACCGGCGGTGCGGCCAGCACGAAGACCCCAGGACGAGCGATTCCGGCGGGGGGGTTCGCTCCGCACCGGGCATCGCCGACATATATATATATATATATATATATATATATATATATATAGATGTATATGAATGTGCGTATGTGAATACATCGATATATGTGTATATGTATATATACACACTTACACATACATACATACACACATACGTACACATATATATATATATGTATACACATTTATGTATGTATATATATATATATATACGATGCCCTGCAGCGAACGGTGTCGAACAGCGTCAACGGAAATCGTATTCGCATCCATTCTTTCCGTCGCCAACTGGATCGTCCAAGCCCCTCACACAGACCCGGAATCCACGATGCATGGCCGATTCATCGGCGATAAGGCCCCGATGGGGAGCAGGCTTCGGCCCCCAGGCCCCGATCGGTGAGGAATGGCCGACTGGGGGTCGACGCCCCTCCCAACCCCCCCAAGACATCTGAAGACGCGCTTTCTTTTTCCAATCCACGGGGCCAGAAGCCGACCACTTCCCTGGGGGTAGCTCTTCGCCCCGGGGCCATTTTTGACTTGCCTGGGGGCCGGGAGCGCCCCGCAAACCAGAAATCATTGAAAAAAAAGCTGGATCGAAAATATGAAAAGACTATTATGTTCAACCCAAGCGCTTTCTGTCAAAGGCCCCCGATGCGTGGTCCTGTCGGCGCCCCTGGCTTCCCCAGAACTCCGACGTCATGTCTGTTTCGCGACGTCGACCGACCGTCGACCAGCGGGCTGGACCCCTCTGCCCGGCCGTTTCTTGACGGTCCCCGGGCCCAGCGAGGGCCCCCGGAAACGGAAAACAACCCCCCCTCCCCTTCTGATTGTCCCACGACGAGCGGAGCGGGGGCACTTTTTCAGTCACCGGGCGCCGGGTGGTCCCCAAGACAGTATGTTGGATGTACCGGAAGCGAATCGAAGCACGAAAGCGGAAAGGAAAAGAAAAGAGCGAGAGGCGGGGATAGCGCACACACTAACATGGACTGCGGAATCCGTGGCTCTGGCGCGTGGGCGCCGAAACCACTGATCGGGGAACATACCACCAGAAACACGAGGCCACTGCCCCCTGATTCGGGGGCGGAGCGCGTCGATTCGAGATGGAAGCGGGGCCCGTCGCCGATCCACGCGCCCAGATTTTTTATTTGCGCTGCCTTGCGTGGGGGTTCTTGCAGGCAGAAAGTTGCAAAGCCCTGTACGGCAAGTTCGTATCGTGCCGACTTTGGCGTTGGTTTCTGATACCGCGGGGATCGTTCAACCTTGAACAATCTGCCGTTTCCGAAACGTCAGATCGTTCAACATCGGCCCATTCTCGGTCGCCAGCGACATTCCACGTTGAACGCCAGCGGCGGGGTCGCCGCCGGTCGATACGACACGACTCGTACCGCATCTTTGTCACGACGAGCCTCCCCAGAACGCTGGGGAGCGCTGTTCGCGAGCGGCCGCGGACTGGGGCGGAAGAGCTCCTCATGGCCTCCCGGCGGCCGCGGCTCGCGCGCGGGCGGGGAGAGAAGCGAAACCCGCCCCCTTGAGCATCTCTGTTGAATTCGCACTTATCGAGAATGATTATTGTTGATCCCCCCTTTCGGTGCCCATGGTGTTTTTCAGTTGAAGTGGCCCTCCATGGGCTCGCAATCTGTTCTTTACAAGGGGAAACCTTGAGGCTCAGAATGGCCCCCTGGCTCCCGAACAACAACAACATCAACAACAACAATAACAGCAGCAATAGCAACAGCAACAGCAGCAACAACACCAACAACAATAACACCAACACCAACTACAGCAGCCATAACAACAGTCATAACCGCAGCAGCAACAACAACAGCAACACCACCACCACCAACACCAACACCACCAACAACAGCAACAACAGCAACAACTACTACGACTACTACAATAACAACACACATGCTAATACTGTTCACATATATCTGCTCGCGTGCCAGCCAACACATCTATCCTAAACCCTCGATTCCCTCCCTCGTCGTTTTCGATCGTGCCCCTTTGGGGTATATCTTTCCTACCTGCAACGTGGAGTTCGTGCAGCCCTCAAGGCACGGGAAGAGAGGACGGATGGAAGGAGAGAACGCTTTCTTACCGCACCTTGACTGGCAGAAATTGCCAAACTCTTCCCTCAGGGGGGACCCGCGCCCCCTCAAAATCCCCCCTCTCCCTTTCCTACAACCCTTCCCCCCTCACCTCGCCCGGTAAACCCCCTCCTCCTCCCCTCCCCCCCTGCCTCTCTCTCTTCGGCTTCCACAAAGTAGGGGGGGGAGGGGAGAATTTCAAAACCCTCTCTCCCACCCACCAACACGCCGCCGGCAAATGACAACGGCGAGCGTCGAAGCCAATGACGGCGACGACGACGAGCGCCAGCGCCGAACGACAGGCTCGAACCAGCCCCCCCCCCCCTCCGCGGAATGCACATGTGCTGCAACTGCAATGCAAATGCATCGCAGTGCAAAGCAATGCAGCACAACAGGATGCAATGCAACGCAACGCAATGCAACGCAACGCAATGCAATACAATGCGATGCAATGCACTGCAATACAATGTGTGCCTCGTCACGTGGCAACGCTACGAGGCCGAAACATACTTTCCGCTCCACTCGCCACGTGGCAACGCCTTGGCGGGCGACAACATACTATTCCGCCCTACTCGTCACGTCGCAGCGCCGCGGGGGCCAGAAAAAATACTACTCTTCCACTCTATTCGCCACGTGGCACCGCCTGGCGGGGACCGACAAAATACTGTTCCACGATTCGTCTCGTGAAAACGCCGCGGGGGCCAACAACAAAGATGCTAAACCACTCCGCGCGACACATGCCAACGCCCGGGGGCGCGAAGACACAACATTCCGTCCACTCTACTCGTCACGTGGCAGCGCCACGGGGGCCGGAAAAAAAACAAGATTCCACTCCGTTCGTCACGTGGCAACGTTGCGGGGGCCGAGAAAAACTACTATGCCACGCCAATCGCCACGTGGCAACGCCTGTAGGCGCGAAGAGAAATATTCGATTATAGCCGTCACGTGGCAGCGCCGCGTGGACGGAAAAAACCTTTGTGCCACGACGACGACGACGAGGGCGACGATGACGACGACGATGACCAGGGCCAGGGAGGCGAACAACAACAATTCAATCCGATTCTCTTCGTCCTTCTTCCTCCCTCTTCCCTTCTCCCTCCTTCCTCCCCCTTCTTCCCTTCTCCCCCTCCCCTCTTCCCCCCTCCTGACCTCCTCACTCCTCCTTCCTCCCCTTCTTTAATGATTTCATAAATGCGCTCGGCGACGTCGGTTCCGATCGATTCAGTGAGATGGATAGATCGGTGGACAATGAGACCAATAGATACGTGATAGGCACTTGTCCTGGTGGTTATCCCGATAGCTGTTCCGATGGTTGTCCCGCTGATGGTCCCAACGATTTTCCCGATTGTTGTCCCGATGGTTGTCCCGTCTCGGTTGGAGGGGTAAGGGGGGTTGGGCTTGACCCCCCCCTCCCCTTCCCGGGGGCGGAGGGGGGGGGGAAGGGGGGGTTTGAACCCCCCCCCTCCCCCACTTTCTCCCAGCCGCGTCAGAAGACGCTCTTTCGATTGAAGGAATCGGCAATGGGGAGGGGGGAGGAAGCACGAGAGTAGCAAGAGGGGGCTAGGAGCAGAGACCACGTGGCAAAACTAGACAAGCAGATCGGGCGGGCAGACACTAACGGGCGGGTCGGGAAGGCGCGCCCAGGCGACCAGGTCGAGCAGGCGGGTTGCTGAAGCGTGGTTCCTGCATGAATCGCGAGGAATTCTCAAGCGATAGCGCGATGTCCAAGTAACTCGTGAGAAAAGCCAAAACGAGAGCGTGATTCCTGAGTGTCGAGGGCGCGGCGCCAGAATACATTGCCAGGAAGTCCCACGCGAGAGTGCGAATCGTACATCATGTGTGAGGAGGTCCCACGCGAGAGCGCAGTTTGGGAATAAAGTGTGAGGAAGTATCAAGCGGGAGCCGCTGTTGTTGTAAACCGGGGGCCAGGGGCACAATTTGAGGAGGAATACCTTCCCTGATAAAAACATGGTGCGAACCCGAGATGGGCACTTCAATTGAAAAACGCATATGCTACCGGAAAGGGGGGATCAACAACAATTATTCTTCAGAAGTGAATCATTATAATACTGTTCGCTCATCTGTGCTCGCGTGCCATGCAACATGTCTATCCTAAATCCTCGGTGCCCGCCCTCTTCGTCTTCGATCGTAACCCCTTGGGGGTATTTCTTCCTTACCTGCCACGTGCATATCGTGTAGCCCCTGAAACAATGGAAGAGAGGTCGGATGGAAGGGGGACGGGGAAGGATGGACCGCACGAGAGAGACTAGCAGGAGGGGGGCTAGGAACAGAAAACACGTGGCAGAACCAGACGGGCAGATCGGGCGGGCAGACCCTCGCGGGCGGGTGGAGATGATCATGATGATGCGAAAGAGACTGGGTGTGCGCCGATCTCGACATGCATAGCTTGAGCCTGAGCAGCCTGGACCTCCGTGCACCTGGCGCGAGCAAGCTGAACATGATAGGAACATCAACGATGACGAGCATGACGAAAACGGCACGATGGTTGCAGGAAAGTCACGGATCGACGGGCAGTCCACAGTGCAATACGGCTGGCCACATGGGGCTGGGGCCTTCGGCCTCCGGCAGGCTACAGGGCGAAACGCGTCCAGCGCGCACCGTGGCTCTCCTCAGTGCGTCAGCTCTGGCAGCGCCTGCTGCTGAGACAGCCCGCGCTTGTCGAGCTCCTCCAGGGAAAGCGGAGGAGGGAAGAGGGAAGGGCGGAGGGAAGGATGCTAACGAGGGAAGGAGGAGGAAGAGGTGATGGAGGGCCCGGTGGTGTGAAGGCGAGAGCGTGGGACGGAGGGAGGGAGGGAGGAAACGTGATAGTTTGGGATGTGGGGAGGATAGGAGTGGGCAGGTGGAGGAGGTGTCCCACACTTCTCCCTGACCCAGGGCCCCCGGCTCCTCCAGCTGTTTCTGGCAAGTCCTGACCTTCATACTGTCAGGGCCCACCGTGTCCAAGAAACCGTTCAAAGCGCTCTGCAACAGCTCCTCGCCGGGCACGGCTTTGGCAGAAAGGGCCCGAGACCAAACCATGGATATCATCGGCATGATAACTTTGATTACTAAATCGCTCTTCCACACAACACGCTTCTGCCACGCAGTCTCGCACCCCCTGCCCACCACGAAGCGGATTTTGCCACGCACAAGCGTTTTGTTCTGAAGCCCCTAATTTCATCTGATTGTCAGGCGGCTTGGAATCCAACGACTTGCAATTTTCGTCGCGCGGCATTCCAAATCGCATAAGGTTGAAACTCCAAGCGGTTTTCCCTTTTCGGGATGCGGTCTTCGTTTATTCAACGGCGCAGTTCTTAAACATACAGAAGCAACGATCAACGTAACAAGTCCTTTGCATACATATGCAGATATATTTCGACAGTAGCGTACCGATGATGCCGAACTGGTGAAACTACTGCTTACCTGCAACAACTAACCTTGATACCGAAACGGCAGCTCAACTTATCTAGCCTTATATAGATATAGCCGATCGATGGCTCGGTGCAAAAGGAACCAACAAAATCATGGAGAGCAATTGGCGGGGGTGCAATCCGCCTTGCAGAACTTGAAGTCCTCAATTCCATTGATCGCCCAGTCATCCCGCCCTCCCACCCACAATTTGTTTTGCAAAACCTGTGGGGCCGCGATTTGTTGACTAATTGGGACTGGCTGGCGCACCTCTGCGGCCGCGCTAGCGCGCGCAAGCTCGTGCGCAGAACGGCCAGCGCGTCTCAAAAGCCTCGCTGGCGAGCGGTCACTCCAAAGTGGGTCGGTGACCCAGGCGGGCGCCGTATCATGATGACTTTGGCAACGGCAGGAAACGGTGATGATAGTAGCGATAGTGGTGGTGATGGTGACGATGACGACGGCAAGGCCAACGACGGCACCGATGCTGGTGACGACGATGACGTTGATGATATCCATCTGCGGCGCTGGCGAGGGTGATAATGAGGAAGTGCGCGCGCAGAAGTGCAAGACACCTGGCATACTTGCTCCTGGGCGGCAATTATGTATATATATATGTATATACGTGTGTGTGTGTGTGTGCGTGTGTGTGTGTGTGTGTTTGAACAACTGTATCTTGAAATGTTTCGATCGCCGCTGATTTAAAATGACTTCAACACGCGTGGCGGCGTTTGCGTGTGGCCCGCATGGTGGCATTTGATACGGATCCGCGCACTGAGCGCATGTTGGGTCAACGCGGATGCACCGCGTGGCTCTGGGCGAGCCTGTTACGTTCCGACCGTTCTCCTCAGACTTCAGCAAGTTCGCGCGCCGCGCAGAGAATCCGCAAGAGTTGACGAACACCTGAAGTACTTTGATGTTCTGTCGTACAGAACTAATAAGTGTGGTGTGATGTTGACATGTGCACGTGCATGCGGACTTCGTGTAGTTTATTGCAACGGCTTAATGAGGCATAATCTGTTGAGGTGAAGGAGTGTGCGTGCATGGGTACAACTTGAGGGGA